TCTTTCCACTAATTAAACTAAAATTTCTTTAGAGACTTCAGACTTTAAAAATCAGCTGAAGATTTAGTGATCTAAATTACACATTACACAATCTTATTTTGAATTTTGCTCATGAACTTTGCAGCAATGTCTCTTTTTGTTTCCTTTGAAGAAACTTAGGGTGAGAAAGAGAAACTGGCACCTAATACATTTCATTAATTTATGGGAGCTTGAGAATATTTCTCTGAAACATCAGGTTAATATTCCAACAAAACTACACACACATTTCAATTGGTTTTCAAAGATCGACTCCCAAATTACATGGGAGTGTGTCCATGCGGGGGGAGGAGATCTGTCTCCGTGGCCCAGTCCTGCCAAGGCCATGGACTGGCACCGGGCCGCGCACCGGGGGTTGGGAACCCCTGGTCTATAGGATAATCTCTTCTGCTCACTACCATTCACACTTGTTGAAAAACAGCCCTGAGAATTGCTTTGTATTTGGATGAAAACTGGTTAGCTGATGAAAAAAGGAGTCAGCTTCTGGGATTTGCCCTTGTGTAGTGTCTCTTTGTGAATGGCCATGGTACTGGGGGACTCCTGTTCAACATCTTGACCATTAGCCTGTGGAGTATCTCAGGGTTGCAGGATTCCGCATACTATTTCATATATACATGAAAAACCTGAAAAAAGTTGCCCAGAATGTTGTGGTCTGGTATCATCAGTGATGATACCCAACTCCATCTGGTTTTTAAGATTTTCCAGGAGGCCCTTCCCTCAGTCTCTCAGGCCCCAGTGTGTGGTTGCTCAGTGGCCCCCCATTTCGCTATACAATCTACAAGGAATGAAATACACCATTTAAATGTAGTTTTGCCTTTAGGCTTCATTTAATCCAAAGGCAGCCTTTTTTAGAAACTGGAAGTGACCAGCCAGTCACTTCCTATTTCTGACTAATCAGAGTTCATGTGTTGTATTTAAATGGTTCTCCCAAGGTTTCTGAGAGAGTTGAAAAACTGAGGCTGTAGTGCAAAACAGCAAATATTGGGGGTGGGAGGGAAACAAGAGTTCCCAGCTCCTCAGAGGTTGCCTGTTCTGTTATAAAACACATTCAAAGAATCACAAATTTTGTGTTTCTCAAGGACACTCATAAGCAGATTCTATTACTCTTTCTTTGGCTTATCCATCAAGAATTTTTCCCCAGATATCATGTGACTTGAAACATCCTCAGAAGTGCTGTGTGCCAAGAATTTATGAGATTCTGTTTACTAATCTGACAACCTTGGTAGTGGATGTGTACTATTCCTTTAAAGTGATAATTTGTGGGCTTGTGAGTACATTGAACACTGGACTCTTTCTGACATGCCTAGTAGTTGGATAAATATCATGCTGTAGGCAGAAGAAGAAGATTTGCCCAACTTTGTACCGACCACAAGATTCTGGGCAGCTTCTTTCAGGTTTTCAATGTATATGTTAAATACAGTAGTATGGGGAATCATGGAACCCTGAGACTCCACAGACTAATGGTCAAGATGTTGAACAGGATTTCCCCAGCACCACTACCATCACAAAGTGACACTAAGCAAGGGGAAATTCAAGAAGCTGAGTCCTTTTTTCATCAACCACTTCTCACCCAAATACAAAGCAATTATCAGGGCTGTTTTTCAATAATCATGAAGGGTAGTGTGACCAAAGAATATACCTTGTAGACCATCTTGACTGGTGCCATTGGTCTTGTCAACATTCAGGCTGCCCTTTGCTATGTAAAGCTTGGTATCCTTTTTCCTGCTGGCAACATGGGTACCATATTGTACAGCAATATTGGGCCATTTCCTGGCTTTTTGAATCATGGGTACAGAAGCACAATATCCCACATTCATAAACTGGAGGTTGTTGTTGCATGAAGAATTGAATTTAATTGCTTTTAAAAATGGGAGTTTATATGTCACCTACATACAAATTAAATCAGAAATTTCGCTCATATAGGATTATCCAGTGGTAGAGGATTCTAGAAGATGAGCATATGATCTCTACTATGTTTACTGAGAGAAAACAGAAGTGAGAAGAACTTGGATCTGGCTTCATCCCTCTTTGACAGAATATTTGAAGGGCTTTTTTGGGCTTAACAAAATGGTGAAGCAACAAATACAATGGAGAAACAAACACACTCTTTCGCCTCTTGGTTAAATTAATGTTGCCATGCCCGCTCTGCTAAATGCAGAGGGAAAGCTCGTATGTTCCCATTTCCAGTCCTTTTCTTTGAGTTAGGCAAGCTGAGGAAGAAAAGCTATATTGGACCAAAACCTCTACAGATAATGTTGTGTACACAGTTTCCAAAATATGCCTCTTTGCTTTTTGAAATAAAAAAAAAAAAAAGGAAGAGGTCGGAGTTAGCAAAGAATGTCACTGGAAACCAAGGTAAAAATCATCTATACTTTGTGAAAAGAAGATAGCAAAGAAAGATAGGGACAAAAATAAAATCATTTGAAATGTGGTGTTGGTACAGAAAGTAGAGAGCCAAAATGTAGAAAAGTCAGTGCTCAATTAAGTCAAGCTGAACTCTCACTCAAAGAGGAAAAAAGTAATTTGAGCCTATTGTACCATGCACATATAACAGAAATACAGGAGTGGCCAGAATAGACTGTATTGCAGGGAGAGGTGGGGTGTTTATCATTCTTCATCCTTTACCCCACTGTCCTTTAAACAACAGCCCTGTGAGGTTGGTCAAGGTGAGAGAAAGATACTGGACCAATGTCAGCCCATGAATTTCACAGATGTGCGTGGGTATCTGCACCCAGCTCTTCCAAGCCCACAACTCTAGCTGGATTTTCTTATATCCAATGAACATTCTCCGAAATCAAGTTTGCAATGTGTGGAGATGTTAATCCAAAAAGAAAGAAAGAAAGAAAGAAAGAAAGAAAGAAAGAAAGAAAGAAAGAAAGAAAGAAAGAAAGAAAGAAAGAAAGAAAGAAAGAAAGAAAGAAAGAAAGAAATTTACTGATTATTATGTATTGATATAGGACAATCAATTTTAAAATTCTTTTTATGATGAGCTCATACAAAAATAACTTCAATGAAAATTTTTCCTTGTAATTTGGTTAACAAACAGATCAAGAATAGGACTGAAATTGATTTTTTAAAGCACAAACTATTTCACGTACATCAGAGCTAGACTGTTTAGTTTTTCATTTTTGAGTGTAGAACGTAAATTTTTTTTTACATGTTTGAGGGTCGAGAACGAATATTTGCCAGAACAGTTTGTCATCAATTGATTGGCCCCTAGTTCCTGCAGGGCCCCTAAGTTTCAGTCTAGTCAATCTTATGAATATTATGGCCTTGAACAGATCCAGATACTGCTGGACCAACTTCTAAAACCCTTCAGTACTTCCCCACCAAACCCGAAATACTAATTAAAATGGCAAAGTAGAAGTCTGGTGTCAATAGAATGAAGCCCATCAATGGCTTAACTGCAAGCAATTGCTGTCTTGCTTGTTTGTGTGACACAAGCTTCTGGACTTTTCAAAACATCTGAGAAACAACCTGCTTCCCTCTCTAACAGAGGACTGCACTGGTTAGCATGCAACATGGGAAAACCCTACCTACTCCCAGAATTTTGCAGATATTAAATCAAGATAAGATATGCTTTGATGAAAAAGCTAGTGGGATGTCTTGCCTCTGTATTCTGTTCTGGAGTGTGATACAATCCTTTTATGTTGATTCTGTATACATATTTTTACTCTATACCCTCTCTGTTATAGGGCCTGAAAACAGCATCTTCACATCTTGTCTCTTTCTTATGTTCAGTTGTCAGCCTCCTCCATTGAATCTTCTATTAGGGTGAGATCAGATGGGCATTTAGCCTGCTATTTGGTCTGCTGCAAGGACAGGTTGGTTTGCTTCGTTTTCTGGTGATCACATGATGTAATAGTTGGAGCAAACCAAATCATACCCAGAGTGTTCCTGCACACATTTTATGAGCTCATACCAGAGACTTCTACTTTTTTGGTCCTGGTATTGTAGAATAAAAGAATAATAGAACAATGGAGTTGGAAGGGGCGTATTAGGCCATCAGGTCCAACCCCCTGTTCAATGCAGGAATCCAAATCGAAGTATAGGGTAGAATTGCTCTGATTTGGTCCATTTCCAACTTGTGTAATTGTTGTAAACAGACCAAAAATGAGCCTTTTGGCCATCAAGGATCCTTGCAGTTTGAATTTCTTAAAATGTGCTGCATCACTTATAAACATTTTTAAAACTTGTTTTCTTTGCCTTGTTTTAAATGAAACCGCCCACAAATACATGGCAGTGGATTATCTGTGGGCAGTTTCTTGATTGGACCTTTAAGACAAAGCAAAGAAAATATTTTAAGGGTTTTTAAAAAAATGATGCAACACATCAACAATGGTCTACTACAGACTGTGTTTTCCCCCACTTCCGCTGCCCCTCTGTTGAGGAAGAGAGGATGTGTTCAATTCACTTATCAAGCCATTTTACAATACTGGAAATTCAGACTGGAAGGAGCTGAACCAAATAGGGCTGCTTGAACACTGATATGCCATTTGGATGCAAGGATCACACCAAATGATGTATTGCACCTCTAACAGATCCCAAATAACCCTATTTAGCTCACACCAGCCCCCTCTGAAAGGACCTGTGTAGACAAGCCTTTCTGTCTGACTGACAAGGAAAACATTTTCAGAATAATTTCTAGAGCATAATATCACCACAGAGTGAGAGACTCCAACACCTCTTCTTTGGTTGCTTTGAATCTTGATTACTGGAAACTTGGAGCAGTATTCTCTCTCTCTCTCTCTCTCTCTCTCTCTCTCTCACACACACACACACACAGGCACGCACGCACGCACACACACACACACACACACACACACACACACGAGATAGGTTCTAAATTGCCACACAGAAAGCTTGAAATAGCAGTTTAACAACTAAACTCAATTTCCATCTCATCCCAATCCCATAATGGTGTAATTACAGTTAAATGCTGAACTCTTTCCTTTTCTCTATAGACTCCCAAGACATGCTGGTTTCATGGATCTTGTAAGTACTCAGATTTGCTTAGATATATATATATATATTTAATTTATCAAGCTTTATACCTATTTAAGATATTTCTATATCAGCCTTAATGAAGTAAAGCCCTGGACAGTTGAAATTAAATACTGTACATAAAGAGAAATTCTGTTATTATAATTTTTAAAAACATTTATTCAAAATACATTAGGATTGAAAAAGCTTTTTATTTCTTCCTATTTCAATACATTGCAATAAATTAAGGACAATTGTTTAAACTGTGTTGCCTCTGTAAAATATGCTGTTGAGAAGGGCGAGATATGAAGATTAAAGGAAGGAAATCCATTTAGCTGAGGGACATATTTCCATGAATTAATGTTCTGGAACTACTGCTGGTTTGTCCAGCTTGGTCCAGTTGTTCCACTTTGACTGCTTTGTTCTGTATAGTACATTCCCCCCTTCCATTACTAAAGGTCTGGGTTTCTCACTTTGAAACCTCTGCCATCCCCTCCCAGGAAGTGCTGTGTGAATGCATTTGTGCGTGCATGTAAACCTCAGATTTTGAAACTGTCTCTCTCTAACTCACTTTTTTTACTCAAACGATGATACGCTTAGCACATTTTTAGAAAAGGTGCTTCCTCTAGTGGTGAAAGACTTCAGCTTGTCACAGTACATGAGACTGTGAGATTTGTGTTGATTTATCTATCAGGGGATATTTGGTAGATCAGCTGAATAATTCTGATGACAGATATATAGTTGTAAAAAGGATGTCAGAAAACAGATTGTTACCTCTTGGATTGTATCTTGCTCCTAATGCAAACCAGGTGAAATTTACATAAGACTTTTTGAGATAGCTCAGGCAGTCTGCATGGGGAGAAATAGTCTTGGGAGGAGTTACAAATTGTGTTTTGAATGTAAAAATAGATACATAATCAAAAGCTAAGAAAATGTCTACAGATGGAGGAAGAATTTGAAAAGGAAGGTTTAATTGATGGATTAAGATATTTAAATCTTAACATTAGGGATTGCTGCTTTTTTCTTAGAAGAACATAAGAAATCACACTCTTAAAAATAATTGCTTACTTGACAAGAACCAAAGCAGAACTAGAGGCCTTAGATACATATAAAACTCAAGCGGCAGTGAACTATCTAAAGAGGAACTATTAGGAATGTGGAAATAAAAATTCTATATTACTGTCCTATGAAGTAAAAAATGAAGGTTACAAAAGGAAAATTGTTTCTATAACAACAAAGGATAATATAATGGTAGCTTCGCATCAACAGTTATCTACAATTTTTAAGGATTGCTATAAATAATTGTATGAATCAGAAATAACATCATATATAGATATTAAAATTTTTGTAAGCTCATCAATTCATTCAATTTCGGAAGAGCATAAATACCAACTTAACTCCTAAATATAATTTACTGAAATAAAAATAGTTATTGGAAAAACTAAGAAAAAGGAAAATGTCAGGATGTGATGGCCTTATAGCTGATTTCTTAATAAGACATAGAAAAATTATGTTGGTACACAATTTTTAAAATATATAATTCAATACTAGCTGGAGAGAAAGTTTGTGGGTATGAGAGATAGTGCTTCTGTAACCACAATTCTAAAAGCCAGGAAATAGCCCAATATTGTGCCTGCATTGCCAGCAAGAAAAAAGATGCCAAGCATTACATAGCAAAGGGCAACTTGAATGTTGACAGCATCAGTGGCAGCAGTCAAGATAGTCTACCGGATACCCTCTTCTGCTCACTTCCATTCACAAAGTGACACCATGGAAGGGAAAATCCCAGAAGCGGGCCCTTTTTTTTCCCATCAGGTATCCACTTCTCAGCACAAAATAATTATTAGGGCTGTTTTTCAATAAATGTGAATGGTATGGGCAGAACTTACTGGAAAAGACAATGTTGCTAGGAAGAAGGCAATAGGAAGAAAGAACAACCTGACATGAGATGTTGGTTTGTAAGATGTGAGCAGAGCTGCTAATGATAGGACATTTTGGAAGTCAGTAACTGTCTACACTGGCATATAGTTATGATACAGGGAACCCTGATGGCACCCTTTGGTATAAAACACAAGACTGTGTCCACTTGTGTTTTTACTTAGAATGATCCACCCCATCCTCTTTAAGAGCTGTCTCACACCAAAGTGGCACTGGGATTTCACATTTTGAACTAACATACCAGTGGTCGACTGGTTACACTGTACTGCCCCACCATCATCTCTGTCAGGCTGTGCTTTCAGAGGCTATGGGAAGGAGTTGTAAAAGCACACAAATGGAAATATGTAGAGATTCATCTCATGAGAGGGGAATCCTAATTGGTTTAGGATACCCACTCAAGATGAATTATTGGGGACAATCCTTCTCCCAAAAGCAATATTCGGTGAAAGGAAAAATGGGAAAGAAAAAGTGGTGGAGTTAGGAGCCTTGAGATAACCCCCTCCTTTTAGGAGGTGGGGGCACATGGCAACATTTCATTGTAGATGGTAATAAAAATGCTAGTACAACAAATAAAGTACAACAATATCTTTTCTGTGCTTTGCTTTCGGCCTCCTCTCCACCCTAACCCCAACCCCACCTTCCATGAAGCACCTATCAAGTCCCGAGATGCCATCAACTGGACATGGAGGAAGAATTGCACTGGCTCAGTAAAGAATGAAGGCAACTCCTCACTGGAAATCTTAGAAAATGGCATGTATTTTATCTATGTTTATGTGGCCCATAAGGAAAATCCTTCTACTAGAGATTACTTCACTGTTGTGTTGCTTGATGATTCAGACACAACTCTCAGCCTTCTCAAAGGGCCCAGTATTATGAGAGCATTTGTAAACATGGGGAGGCCTTATTTCCTGGAAAAAGGACAAAAGCTGCACTTAGACATTAATGTGGGACTGACAAATATTGCCACAAATGAAACATACTGGGGTCTCTTTAAAATCTAACAAGAGGAGCAAACTGCACACATTTGTTTCCAGCACGTCCTCGTAGTATATCCTGTATTCCTACAGGTCACCTGATGGTTTGGTGCTGTAATTTTTTTCTAAGAGTTTTCCAAGTGTATTGATTTAGCTTAGCTGCAACTGGCAAGCTGGCCAGACCTTTTCACACATGGGAAGCAGGGACTGGAAAACTATGACTTACTCGAGACCATCCAAAGAGAAGCCAGCACAAGGCATGCATCATTCAACCAGACTTCACATCTATCGATTTCAGCTAATGGCGACAGGATCTGAGGACAGGCAATATTGTGGATATCATCAGAAATATGGACACTACGTTAAAGGGAAAGGCAGCAGGACTGAGTTTAACGTTCTGACTACAACAAGTACTTATATATAATTCTTCAGAATATTCTTACAGATTTTTCAGTAACCCTCACATGTTTGTGATGTAAACTGGTATCACAACTCCTTTGTAAATTTTATAGCAGCTGCTCATAAAAATCTAATTTCTATTTCATTCTGTTAATTTCATTTTCAATCATTCATGTAGATCCACAATTTGGGTTCAAAATTCTGATTCAAAAGGACAAGGGAAGAAAAGAAAAAAGTAATTTATGATGCATAAAACATCAGTTGAGTAGTGAAGTGTTACTGCATATTTTTTTAAAAGTCTAGCATGGTTTTCTCACACACACCCTTATCTTAAGGAGTTTTACTAATTTGAACATGGTATATTGACAGAACGTTTTATCATCCCACTCAGTGGGAGATTTGACACTCCCTAACCCCAGCCTTGAAAGCACTTACCCTATTTTGTCTTTTGTGAACACTAGTTCATTTCATCAGACACAGCAGGCCAGAGGCAGTCCTTCATGAATCATTTTTTAAAGTTACAACTCTTATAAGTGGCCAATAATGACCAAGAACTAACATTAATTCAGTACCCAGCACCAGCACAACTGAGCCTCCCCCTGGCAGCTGTCTGTGGTGGCAAGAATCTCTCCAAAGGATTCCCCATCCTTCCAGTACAGATATTAGGATGTACAGGAGCTGCAAGACAAAGGGAAGATTGCCATAGTGGTAGAAGCAAAAGGACCCAAAGAAAGGCACACTGGATTCTGGTTAGTATCTGGCTGTGGCGCAATGCCCAAGTCACGCCTGTCCGACATATGGAGCTCTAGGACAGGAGACTATGGCAGGACAGGAGGGGCGGAGTCAGGAGAACAGTTGGAGACTGAGAGGGTTAGAGAGGAGGTTTTGAAGTGTCAAGACAGAGACTGGAAAGCTGGTGTGTGTTAGAGAAAAGATAAGAGAGAAAAGTAATAGGAAATAGATAGACAGTCATAAGATATTGTACAGTGGTTAATGTGAATAAATACAAACAAGCAAACGTGTGATCCTATCCAAGTTTAATGACTGAACAATAAAAGAACATCTGTGACTTCTGTGATTCACCAATCAAACAATAAATAAACCTGTTATATTTGGCAGCCCATGTCTAAGATTCATATTTGGTACAGGGTGGATAAAGATCCACTGGTGGCAGCGTGTAAAGGGAGAAAATAGCACATCGTGTCCGAAGGTGGACCTGTGTTTGAGGGAAAACAAACAGGGGACACTGGGGGAACGCGACACTTGCTACATCTAGTAGCCCATGTGGGTACTACATATGACACAACTTGTCAATTTCTTAACATTTCCAGTATTTGCTCTGTGTTAGTCTATATAGTTTCTCCATATACTGTCTATCAAGCATATTAAAAACATTTTCCTATATATGTGCAAATAAAAATTACTACCAGGCAGCCAAATATCAAAGCCAATATTTGATGTATATATCATACATCAAATATATCATACATCAAATATTAATGAAAGTTCTGGACCTTGATCTTAATTCAACACGTAAGTTATTTTCTTCAGAATGAAAATGAAGTTACGTTTTGTGGAGATAATTTTCCATCCATTTGTAAAACGTATGGTTACATTCAACACACACATTTGCTGCAGTTTTACAAGATTCTTTCCAAGAATCAAACTGATCATAGGCTGAAACAACATTTTCTAGGAAAACCTGATCAAATCCATATCAACTCTTGATATAAGACATGATACCAAGCCATACAGCAGTGCAGAACGGTGCCAGTTTTGGTTCTTTAGTATTCTAGATTGTTTTGTTTTGTTTTTTGATGGATACACCACAGTTTTGGACAATACAAATGAAAAGAGGTGTGATGGAAAGAAAGACTCTGTTAGGTGTGGATTTCCCCTTACTAACACTCCCTCTGAAAGCTAAAGGGAGATAAGGCCATGCCCCTCCAGCCACATTAATGAGGAACATTGAGAACAGATTTAAGACAGGACAAAGCAAATGCTCAAATATAGGACAGGTGACTTGGCAGGAATACATATGAAAAGAATCTAGGAGTCTTAACTGATCACAGGCTAAACTTCAGTCATCAGCTAAAGGCAGCCAGTGGCCACAAAATGTGTTGTTGTTGTTGTTGTTCAGAAGCAAACACAGTTATGTGTTGTGTGGGCAAGACTGCAGGGAGGAGAGGAAAGTACTCATAGCAGCAGCTGAGTTACCTGTTACACCTTGCTGAAGTTGGCAGCGTGCATGCAATTTCAAACTTCAAAATGCTCTCTTTCCCAGACAAGGAAAAAATTGTCAAAGTACCTATATAAAAAGGAAGATGTTGCCCAACAAAGCCATTTCTTGTGTCCCTGTGGAAAGGAAGACCAAACATGGTGTTTTTAGTCCTTGTGTCATTATGAGATTAGGGTTCACCTGTGGGGTGGGTGGGAAGCACAGTTCTGAAGCATTAGTGCAGCAAAGTTAAAAGAGAGAGCAAAAAATCACATGGATAGAAAAGAAAAAAAATAAAGACAGAAAGGGAAAAAGGAAGGAAACATTGCTGGTCCCCTCATCTGATGGTAAATATCTACAAAAGAAAGGAATCATGTCCTGATGCTACTGCCTTGTATTTTGAGTTATCATGGGGATTAATGGACATGATTAGTTGAATAAAGATTAGTTTTTATGTTCAGTCCATATTACCAGATAGAAAACTACTTATGTTAAGGGACACATTAAATAAATTATTTGGAGGATATACAGTAGTCTGCAAATTAATTTAATTTTTCTGAGGTGATTTGAACGAGGAATCAATAGGCTTCCTTATCTGAAGCTTAGGTTCTAGTAATAACTTCTAAATTTCTATAAATACACATTAGTCTATGCAAATTGTAAGCAGATTTCTGTTCTGGCCCCAGTTTAGTAACAACACTACCTTGACATTGGCACTGGTTTCTTTCTTGCTCAAGCAGCCTGCTTTCTGATGTAAAACACTTCCTGTCCTTGCACATTTCACTAGAAGAGATTTCAATCTCTGGTGGCATTTGTTATCTCAGTTCAAGCTTCACTCTGATCTGAAGTGGAGAAAGTCTGGCTTTCAGAATGACTAAATGTCCAATTTGGCATTTTGATGCTGAGCCATATCTGCGGCAACAAAACCAAACCCTAAAAACATTGTTTCCAAACCCAGATATTACTCAGTAGGGGCAAGCAGCCAGAGCACAGAACAGCACTAAAATTCAGCAGCAGAGGAATTTGTAAGGCACGCGGATGAAGTAAAACTACACTGCTGTAAAATGCCAAGAGCAAGAAAACATTTCAGGGAATACTGTAAAAGCTTTGCTAGGTTTGATCCCAGGGAAGTGATGCATGCTATTTGGATAATCTACTCCACCAACGGCTAGGTTGTGATGCTTATCAGAATTTCTTCAAGAACTCTTTAATACTGTGTAGTGACTTGCTGTTTAAACCAATTACAGTGCCAGCAACACTAATCTTTCTGCTGGTACTTGGTTTGAAACAGTAAGTTATTCTAAGGTAAAGGTTGCCTTTGACAATTAAATCCAGTTGTGTCCAACTCTAGGGGCATGGTGTTCATCCCTATTTGTAAGCTGAAAAGCTGACATTTGTCCATAGACACTTCCTGTGGTCATGTGGCCAGCAGAACTAGACACAGAACACGGTTACTTTCCCACCGAGGTGGTGCCTATTCATCTACTTGCGTTTGCATGCTTTCAAACTGCTAGGTTGGCAGGACTGGGAAAACCAACGGGAGCTTACCCCATCGCATGGATTCGAACTGCCAGCCTTTCTATTGACAGTCGAGTGTCTCAGCAGTTTAACCTGCAGTGCTACCCACATCCCCTCAAGTTACTGTAATAATTAATGACTCAATAATTGATGAGTCATCTGTGTGAGGTACCTCTTTTCTTTCAGTAATCCACAGGGAGTTGTACATGTTTTCTCATAGCCTTTAGTAGATTTTGCATGCAACATTTCGCCCAATCAGTTCATGTCTTCCATGGGTGGATGCTACTGCGTAAAAAGCCAGACATCCAATCAAGTTGACTGCCAGGAAGGAAAGGGCAGCGAGAAAGCCATGCTTGACATTTCTGTGGTTTAATGTTGTCCATAAAAAATGAACTTAATTTTTGTTGCTAATATAGATACTCCTGACACTTTTTCTGTATCCCTTAACATTGTTGTGCAGATGATTTCCTTTGTGGCAAATAATATATTTTAAAAATCTCCTTTATTTGCTTCTTCATGTGCTCATCCACATGGTGGCATTTTCCCTGGTCATTTTGGAGCTGTACTCGGGAGTTCAGGAATCGTTTGTTACAGATTTGAATAGATTACCCTGGTACTGCTGTGCACTTATGGGGAAGCTGTTTGCTGCTGGATGTGCTGGGATGTATCCAGGCCAGTTCATCCATTTAAATACATATTATAACTCATTTGTTCCCAGTACCACCTATCCACACACATCCAAAATTGTGGCCTGAGATCTCACACCCAAAACAGGTTGCCACCCTCTTTTGCCTACCTTCTCTGCTCAGCCCCTGCCTATTTCACTGTCTCCTCCCTCCTTGTTTCACCACCCACCATTCTGCCCCCCAATTTTTATTCTGTTATTTATGTTTCTTTTTTATTTCAGTTTTCATTCTTGTGCTATGGCCTGAAAGTGAAAATATTTGTTTAAAAATTAAAAACAGAAGGCAGGAACAGCTGACATCCCAAGAAAAGACACCTACTCACAAATTGCACACGTCAGCATGCATCAATACAGTACTGATTTGCACATAAGTAGATCCTGCATTGGAGCCAGTTAGAGTGAAGTAGAAAAAATGTGCACATGGACATGGGGGTGGGGGTGGGTGAGAGAGAGAGAGACAAGCAAAGGGTTTTTGTGCCTCTTTTACTCTGTCAAGACTAGTTTCAGCCTTGCATTGTGTAGATACCTGGGTGCAATACCAATATCACAGGTGCAAGGAAAGTTTAACAAGTGCTCAGTGTGGAGGGGCCCTAACACTTGGATTTAGCCCATTTCTTTCTGTTAAGCGAGGAAGCAGGAAAGCAGCTTTGTGTGGACTCCAGCATTTTCTTGCCTTGAACCTGCTGCTATTTTCCTAGTGCTAGAGAGAAGTATCAATGAACTAAATGATAGATTACCTGTTCTTCTAAACTGCCTAATTACACTGTACAATCATTTGTAAGAAATAATTAGCTTTAGTCTGGCAATTTTATGGAGGAGAAATATGTGTGTGCATAGAAATCTGGATTATGTATTTGTTGCCACACATATTCCTCTGTCAACTCTGGTAAACTGCTGAAAACAATCTTAGAAATTCCTTATTGCATTTTCCTAAGTATGATATATTAAGAATATATTTTTTTCAAAGAATTGGCTGTTTTCGTTTGTTTTGGGTACATAACAGCAAAACAAAAATAAAAACAAAAGAGAGATTACCAGATTTACTTCAGATTTATCATACTTTGTAAATAACAATCTACTTCCTCAGATGCATGGGATGACAAGTTTAGCTCATTTATATACAAAGTGTACATTTAGGGGATAGGGACCCAGTGTAGATGGATACCCACACAGAAAATGACATTTCAAAGTTGTATTAGCATTATTAATACAAGTCACTAATTGAGAAATGATAACACTTGTGTCTTCAAAATAAACTTCTTTAATGAGCAGATTGACAACACACTGAATTCCCAAACACAGCTGTCTGATATTACTGATGGGCCAGCACAGCTGCATAATCAATTCTTTTCTCATATCATGATAAGCATCTGTCTTCTCATACAGTTAATTGGTAAGCACATATTCTACATGTCCTCAAAGTAGAGTAATCTTCTGCAATGGACGCGCACAGGAAATATTTTTGTTCTTGCTGTGTTGAAGGTTCTTTTAGGGCCCAGAAGTGTCTTTTTCATTTTCATATTTTTCATACCCGAATCGTTTTCCTTTACATAAAAGAGAAAGTCTCTTAGATGTTCTTTAATATCAGG